CCTATGGACAGTCTCACACACAGACTGCTCTCTAGGTCTGTCCCTGGGCTTTCCAGTCCACCAAATGTGGAGGAAATAGGGTCAGGTCTACAAAAGCTCAGGCTACCAACGTCTCTCTTTCAGTTAGTCTCAAAGGTGTTGCAAGGTAACAAGGCTATATCGTTAAATTCTAAGGCCTGAAACAGACAGGCCAAATAAGGCGGCTTCTGGCTGCTTTGGGGTCATGGCATTTAGATGACAGACACCCTCTCTGAGACCGGCTAAGGCAGCCTGAAGCCACCGGCAAAAGGACTGGATTTAATCTGCTCCTGCCAGTGGCCCATTTGGGACTGTAATGGTGGCCCACTTCGAGTTGCCGCAGTCCCCGAGTGATTGGGGCTGGAGCAGCCTCTGGCAGCTCCTTTTGGCCCATCTGCTTCACCCCTCCGTATTTAAGGATTCTTTGCAAGAGAACACTTGACAGCTGGCCAAACTATAAATCCCCAGAGTCCGTAGCAGCTAAAATCAATATAAATGTTCTGGAACCGGTTAGGGTGAAAGGGAAGATTGTAATTGGTGTGTTTCTCGGTGTGTCTACATATATGGTTGTGGAAAACTTTTCATTCTTTCCAAAAGTGATGGATGATGATGATGATGATGCAAACCAAAGAGAAAGGGAAAGTAACAGATTGTTGCAAGGACTGCTACAACCTTAATCAACTCTAATCAACCCTTACGTGGCCCCATCTAAGGATGGATAGGATCATGACTGCTGGGTATATATATATATTGGTTATGTGTGGTTTTATGGAATTGAATTGTTTGTTTTGTTTCAAATTTTCATCGATTTAATACTGTTTTAAGGGGGGGAGGGATCTTTGGGATTGGGTTTGTATATGTTTTTATGGTTGTAAGCCATCCTGATTGGGTTACCAAAGGGCGGGATATAAATAATTTTTTTTATTATTATTACTATTATTATTATTATTACATGCAAATTTTCATAGACGTAGCTGTGCTTGTCTCTTGCAGCATAAAAAGGAGGAAAGGATGGGGAGGGAGAAAAGGAATGTGGCACAATCTTTTAAGACTGTTTTTATTTTAACATGAGCCTTCATAGATATAAACCTACTTTTTCAGATGCAGAAAATACAGTATTTTTTTGGCGTATAAGACTACTTTTTAATCCAGGAAAATCTCCTCCAAAGTCAGGGGTCATCTTATATGCCGGGTGGAGGAGGAGGAGGAAGAAGGTGTGGCACGGCGGGAGGTGGGAGGAAGATAATAATAATAATAATAATAATAATATAATAAAATTTATTTATATCCCGTCCTATGGTAACCCAATCAGGGCGGCTTACAACCATAAAAACATATACAATACCCAGACCCAACAACACCTCCCCCCCCTTTAAAACAGTATTAAATCAATAGAGATTAAAACAAGCAATTCAATTCAGTAAAACAACACAGACCAATATATAAACCCAGCGGCCATGATCCTAACCATCCTTAGATGGGGCCACGTAAGGATCACTGGGGTGGGCATAACCGAGGCCGGAGAAAATTTTTAATCTGGAAGAAAGGAAGTCCAGGTCAGAGGAGGAGGGGGGGAGGAGGAAGGGGGTGGCGTGAGGCAGGAGGAGGAAGCACTAGCAGATAAGAGGTGAACCCCTATCCTGGGGTTTTCTTGGCAAGATTCTCTCAGAGGAGGTTTGCCATTGCCTT